TCAAATGCTTTACCAGCAGTTTGCCAGCATAGTACCCGTCTGTCATCAGAGGTCAGACCAAAGCGACACTCATCAGAAAAAATATATAGGACCAATTGTCATGAACTGTCCAGTTCCAGATCCTGTTGACCCTAGTTTACTCTACGTTGCCTGTTTTGTAACGATATAAGAGGTTTCAGTCTTGCTACCCTGCTGTACACTCTCTGAGCATGTAACCGACGCCTAGTAAATTTCACAGACACATTCTTATGTGTGAAATTGTTCCACTGTGTTGTCAACTGACAAGCAGTGTCGAACTTTGACAACCTGGACATCAAAATCAGTCGTCGGTCTTCACGGCCAGTATTTTTTCTTGGACAACCCATCAGAGGCAATTTGTCTCTTGATCCAGTGTTTCTATACCGAGACTAGACCCTTAGCACTGTTCTGACTGAACAATTCAATTGTATCGATAAACCAAAAATTTCACGCTCTTTTCAATTTACTGTTTTATAGGAACCCCAATCAACCAGTTTCTCCTTCCACAACATGGCCAGAATACACAGCCTCTGGAAAGGAGTACATTGAGTTGGGTGACGTCATCAGTGCCAAATCTGACGTCATTCCAAAGAGAATGGTCCTGTGGACGAACACCATCCCCAAAATACGGGCTTCTGCCTTTTCTACTGCAGCTTGCGGAAATTTTCCACACGTCTTTGGCATTGCTTTTGCTGTTTTGTGTGCTCTTATAAAATATTTGGCCTACATGTAATTAAAACATATGCAGTCTGGATTTAAAGATTATGTCCAGTGTCTGCTCAACAGATATGTAAACAGGAACATTTGTATGCTTATTTGGAACTGACATGGGTATTTTGATGTCTTTAAAATCTTTTCCAAAATGTGAGATTGTTAGATATTTAAAAATACTACGATTGGAACTAAAAGTTTCATTGCAAAATATTCTATTTCGTTTAATACTAGTACATTTACAGTGTAGATTAAATTCATTTGGAAGAAAATAAAATGGGGGACTAGGGAGAAAAAGCTTGCCCATAGGGAGACAAGATATGTTGAGGTTCAAAGAACATGCTCTGTGTCCTCAGTAGTACAAGGCGACGGGCCAAAATGGCGCCATCAGTTACATATCCGCATTGCTTAATTTCCAGTTTGCCAAACGGAATGGTACCTGTGTGTTGACTTAGTACTTTCCAAAGGCAAGATCTAACAATGGCGCAGGTGTCCGTTTCCGTTGCCATATCTCTTTTAATGCATTTACTGCCTGTGTATTTTTGTTCCCTTGGCTGCCTAGTTTTATCAGATGAGGTCATATGTTGCATTCCAACTCTGACAGACGCGCGACATTTTTAAACAAAGTAAGGTCAGAAGTAACAACAGACATGGATGTTTGTTTAATGCAGCCATGGCACGTCATAGAGGAGGGGGGTAGCCAAATTAAGAAAAATGAATCACGTACCCAGTTTTAATACAAGTACACTCGGTTTTTCGCTTTGGATATGACGAACTGAAAACGCATGTACCTTTTGGACTTTTTGCCGGTAATAGGAAATAAGTGTTCTTTGAAAATAATGATGACGTTGATAGTTTTCTTGATTTCACTGTGAGAAAATGATACTACTAATACAGTGTATGATACTGGGAATAATGTGAGAACAAGAAAACATACTTAATAAACTTTATAAAAATAAGATTAATGCCCAAAATTAAAGGCAGTGTACAGGGGCGGATTTAGGGCGTCTTCTGGGTCTTCCGGAAGACGGTCAGATTTGTCAAGTTTACATGGACGGGTATCTAATTTTACTCTGTCGGAAGACGGTCAAAAATGGAGGATGGATCAACAAAGATAAATTGGAAGACTGTCAGAAAATAACTCTGGATCCGACCCTGCAGTGTACCTGAATGTGTAAGGGGGGGCGCAGACTGAACCAAGGGCAGATCCAGGATTATTTGAAGAGGAGGTCCGCAGATGCGATCCCCTCCCCCCCCCCCACCCCCCCCCCCTCACCTCAATTTGGCGCGGGGAAAAAAATTGGTATTTTAGAGGGAAAACGGTGCCATTTTGTACGATTTAGAACTATGATTTAGCTAGACAAAATTCTAATTTCAAGAGGGGACCAGAAATCGAGAGGGGGTCAGAACCCCCCCCCCCCCCCCCCCCCC